ACCAAAGACCATAATTCTCCAAACGCATTCAAAGTTTGATTCTTGTGCTCATTTACTCAGTACATCACAGGATCTTAGATTTCACTTCTGTATAATCATATTTCATTCTGTAAATTACCTAAATGTTAGGGAATACTTGATGACATCGAAAACTATTGGGAAAAGGCCTAGCCACAAAGTCCAGACTGTTGAATAATATCACATCAAAAATAAATCATTACTTTACAGTTAATCAAATTATTTGCATCCCTTGTAAAGACACTGTCTCTAAGTTTTAAGATCTATCCCATTAAAATTTCACACCTGTTTCACAATATTGCAAGATATTATAGGGAGATTAATCATTCCATTTCATCCATTGAACTTTCTTTCTTTATTGACATTATATCGTCAGTAGCTCATATTTCCTGATAGACCTATTTTTCTTGCACAGATTTAGAGAACCAGAAGCAGCTATCATTAACCCTTTGGATCCGGTTGCATCACGGAAATCACGGTGCTGAAAAACCTGGGCAATGGGTTACATAAGTGGCCAACATCCCAGACATGTGGCGCATAGGCCAAGTACGCACAAATACCCATGAGTGGTGACAAGACTGTGTCTCCCTTTTGCAAAGTTTTGTGTAAACTTTTTTAGCTTTATTGCCATTTTCCAATGTCTATATTTGTCTTTTGAATTGCTTCATCTAGATGTTATTACTTATTTTCCTTGCACAGACTCCATATCTCTTAGAAAGCCTAACTAATGGAGTAAAACCACTAACATGGTGAAAGATTGAACCAGATTTGCCACAATCTGCATTAAGGAAATGCAATGCTAAGGGTCAAACTTATGAAACTACAATATTGTAAACTGCCTACCTACTTTATGAATCTATGTTGCTGTACTTTACCAATCTAGCAACATTTTGTTTAGACAAACATTACCTCATTGCCTCTGGGTGACAGGTATATCATTCTGAGAATGGCTACCTTCCCAGGGGCACATATGCCATACCATCCATATTTCAACCAAATTGTGGTTTACTGGCCTTCTATCACGTAGACTTTGCATGTTGTAGCAAGACACATTTCCAGGAATTTTGCCAACAAA